CGAGTATTCGGGTGGCAGTGGTGACAGCCGATCCTGCTGCCCCAGCAGCCCTCTGCCCTCTCCCTTCCTCTGGGCTTGCCGAAAGGGCAGCCCTTGCCCTCGTCTGACAAGGTGCGGGATGTTGAACTGAGCATGGAAATTTCTCTGTGATAACCCTTTGCAGTCAAGCAAGTACAGAGCCCAAATACCTCTTGGGTGTCCCCGCTTTGGCTAGACTTGAGACTTTCTAAGTCTCATCTGAAAGGGGCAAATCAGGGGGCTGGATGTGTGTGTGTATAGGGCACCTCTTCCCCTCTGTGCCATGCCAACGTCTAGCACAGGCAATGGACAAGACGCTGAACGTCGCCCCTGCAGCTGCAGCCTTATCTGCAAGCTGCAGCTTGGAGGTGCTGCACGAAGGCCCGAGCACCTCCCTCGGAGGGCCATTGCGGTGAGGGGGAAGTATATTGCAAGCAGGGCCCTTCCCACGGCGCCCGCTGCTGCGCAATCCCTGCACGGGAAGGGGCCCCGCAATCCCTGCACCCGTCTCAGCACGGCTCCCCCTTGTACCGCTCAGCTTTGAGACCCGTGTCTCCAGCTGCTTCAGGTACCGCAGCCTCCCTGCGACTGTCCCTGTTGCTCTGCATTGCTCCTGGGGCTGCTTAGGGGGCATGGGAAGAAGGATGTTCCTGTTGCCGTCCTGCATGGGCATCGAGGGCTCCTCGGCGGGTCTGGTGAGTTGTGAGCAGAGAGGCTCGGGCCAGCAAGGATGGGATGGAGAAGATGAGGGCTGGTTAGAGCACTTGCTGCAGAGACCAGGAGGGGATGGAGCACAGGGCAAGGGCCTGTGGGGCTGCCTGTGCTCAGGGCAGGGCTGCAGGTGGTGGGCACAGGGGCTGGCATGGTGGCGAGGAACAGGGCACTGTAGGGACATCAAGCCACACTGCCCTGGCAAGTGTGTTGGGGAGCCGGTGGCCCGTGTGCCCGGCCGCAAGCAGTGTGGATCTTGGTGGGGAGACGGGGAGTGATTGTGTTGGCTCGGAAAGGCGAGGGGAAGGCGTAGGGTTGTGTAGGATGGGGGGAGCAGGAGGCAGGCGTTGATCTGGGGAGCAGGGCACGGGCGGCAGAGATGCTGTCGCCACCGGCCACTCAGGTTGTCCTGCCCTTGTCCCCCAGCGCTTTGGGCATCAGCTCCCTCGCGGGCCCCCCCTCTGCAGCCCTGTCACCCAGTGTGTCCTGCCCCTCCGTCAGCACCCTTGAGGCTTCCTGTGGCCATCCAGGGCCGGGGTGCGTGTCCACCTGACCTGGCAACTGCTAGCGCTGGAAAATATCCCCTGGTTCCAGCTGGCAGCGAGGCCTGGAACGGAGCAGCGGGTCTGTGTGGCCACTGGGGCTGCCTGGGCTGCTGCCTTCAGAGGTTGGCGGAAGGCTGAAGTGGAGCCCATGGAGCCCCTGTGTGGATGGGGGTCACCAGGACCTTGCTTTGGGCGCGGAGCAAGCGATGGTCTCCTTCCCGTGGGTGGCTCTTCCACAAGAGGTGGCTCTTCCACAAAGGGTGACCCTCCCACAAGGCCGATTGGACTGTGGCACCCCTGAAAGCAGCCTCCCGTGGGGCTCGCCATGCGGCGGTGGCCGCGCTGTCCCCTGGGGAGCGGTGGCACGCAGCGCTCGGCCCGAGGGCAAAGCTGCACTCCTCACCGCGAGCCCGCAGGAATTTTCCCCTTGTGGCCAGCTGTTGTCCTGGGCCTGCCTCGCGTCCTGTAGCTCTTCCCGCTCTGCCTTTCCTGGCCGAGGGGACCCGGGGTCGGCCCCGCTCCGGAGCGCCTTGGCGGGGTGAGTGGCCGCCTGCCCGGGCTGGCAGGGTGAGCGGTGATGCCGGAGCCCGGCAGCCTCCGCTCGGCTCCGCAGGGATCCTCTCGGGCAGCAGAGAGTTTTCCCCACCCCCAGCTCTGCCGCTGCCTCTTTGTTTTCTGGCAGAAGCCTCGGTGCCTTTTCAGCGGCGCGAGGCGCTGGGCGGGCGGCTGCGTGTGCCGGGCGCGCGCCCCGCGGCCGCCGGGGGCTCCTCTCCGCCGGCCGCCCCTGCGCCCGGCCGGGCTGCGGGGCTGCCGCCTGCCTCCGATCAAGCCCCTCTTCCCCCGCAGCGGCAGCCTTGTCCGCACCTTGCCACAAGTGCAGTAAGTTGGAGGGGAAGGGCTTGGGCTCTGCGCCGCGGGGCTCCCGCGCCGTTGCGGTGCCCAGCGGATACCTGGGACCGGAGCAGTGCGAAGGAATGGCGGGGGCGGGAAGGGGGCGACGGCTGCGGCTCGGGATGCGGCAGTGCCTGCGGATTGCGCCGTGCCTGCGGATTGCGCCGTGCTTGCCTCTCGGTGTATTTGATCTCTCGACTTCCAGCGGGGACTGAATTCCTGTGCTAGATTCTGGGCTCGGCTCTCGTGAAAGGATCCAATTATTTCAGAGCTTTGAGCATCTCCATTTGCTGCCCATATTTGCAGCACCCGGGTCTGTGTTGGCTGGAATTCCGAGTGATTAACGTGACTGTGACATCCCTCCTAGGGGTGTTATCTTTGCTCGCTGTCCCCCACCGCCCCCCTCTTCCTCCTCCAGCGGCGAGCGAGACAGACAGGCAGGCAGAGACAAAGGTCTGTCCTCAACCTGCGCCGTGCTCCCCACAAGCGGCTGCTGCGAGCGACCCGATCCGGCCGCCCAGATCCCGCACTTCCCGAGACTCCTGCCTGAGGGCTCCGCTGAGGTTTGGGCTGGGCAGGCAGGGGCTGCTCCCGCTGCTCCGGCCGCCTTTCCCGCTTGGATGGCACCGCTCGGGGGGCGGCTGGTGGGACGCGCGGGGAGCCCCGCGCAGGTGGCTGTTGTGTGCAGAGGGGCCGCTGCCACCCGCGAGCCATTGTCAGCGCCGGGGCTCGCCCCGAGGTGCGCGCGGGGCCGCGGGCTCAGCCGGGGCGCCGCCGGGCACCCTTGTATTGTGCTGCCCGGCTCGGGCCCCGCAGGGCTGGCGTCGCCCCCAGCGAGGCCGAGGGGCCCTGGGGAGGAGGTGCGGCTCCCGCCGCGGTGCGGCCGCGCGCTGTCCCCTGCGGCGGGCTGCCTGCAGAGGGACGCGCGGGGTTCCCGTCTGCAGGGGCCCTCTCGGGTGCCTGTGGGGCTGGCAGCCTCCGGCCGGGCGCTCCCTCTCGCCCCGTCCTTCCCTTCTGGGCTGGGGCTTCCTCCCTGCTACCTGCACAGGCGTCGGCACAGAGCAAGGCTCTGCAGCTGCGTAAATCTGGGACAGCAGGAGAGCAGCACCTGCCTCTGCAGTGGGGCACTGATGTTCCCTCTCTCTGCATCATCTTTTTTCCCCCTCTCCCTGTTTCCACTGAGTGTGGGCTCCTTCCCCTTGACCTGAAGCTGGGGTTGGCGAGCCAGAGCCAGCTCCACTCCTTCCGGCTCTCCCTTGGGCACAGTTTGCTGCTGGAGCAGCAAACCTCCCTCCAGCAGTGCTCTGCCGGTTTGGCACCTGGGCTGGTGCTGTCAGCGCTTCCCATCCCTCGGGCTGTAGCGCTCCCGCAGGCTCCACGGAGGTCGTTCTGTGCTGGTAGCCCTGCCGCTGCTGCTGCCATCCCCTGGGCCTCACAGAAACTTTTCCTGCTTCCCGAGGGCTCTGCCTGTCCCATCCCTTGGCAGGGGCAGAATAGTCAGAAAGGCAACAGGTCCCTTTGCAGGTCGGAGCCCTCGGCTGCAGCCCGGCTGCCGCGTCGCCCGGCTGGGAGCCCTTCCTGCCACCCTGCCCTCTTGCTGCAGGTGGGAGCTGCAGTCTGATTATTCTGTGTCCTCCCTGATGTGCTGGTAGGAATGAGGCCAACAGGTCATTCAGGTCGCCAGCCCTCGGACCTGACTGGGTGGGTTGGGGTCTGGTAGCTCAGTGTCCGCAGTGTGCTGGAACATGAGTGTCCCTGTGCCAGCACCTAGGACTTGCTCCCTCCCCACTGCCCCTTTGGCTCTGGGGGCTTCCAGGCCCTTTCCCTGAGCCCAGCCGGGTGAGATGTGGAGAGCAGAGCTGTGGAGCTGGGTGCTGGAAGACCTTGGCCAAGAGACAGTGGCTGCCCGTGGCCCTAAGCCGTGGGTGTTCACCTGGTCCTACGGACCTCCCCACACAGGGGGCCAGGGGAAGCGTCTGTATGAATGGCTGCCCATGGAGCTTGAGCTGGGGCACTTGTGGTGCCACAGGACGGGTCACCCGGCTGTGCGTGCACTCAGGGAGCTCGTGTGTCGCGTCCGGGTCCTGGCGGATCCCCAGCGATGCCCTGTCCCTGGCACCGCTGGCCGTGGCTCTCGGGTTGCTCTGCTCTCGGGGACTGGCTGCAAGTGCCTATTAATTACAGATGCCACTGGAAGCCTAATGAAAGACTAGCCAGGGTCAGCGCCAGCGCTGCAGCGAGCACTGCCGGTGCCCTGCTGGGCTAGGGCTCCAGCTGGAAAGACTCTAACCTGCAGAATTTGCAGTACCAGGGTGCCAGAATGGGGGACATCTGGGTGTTTGGTGTTTCTGAGCATCTCTTCATGGATTTTGCTCACCTATCTGGCCCAGCTGCTTCTGTTCTGGTGCTGTGCCCTGGAGATTTGGCTGGTTGGGAAATGGGGCATGAACTTCTCTTATCTGGGTGCTGATCTGCACCCTGCTCGGAGGACAGTGGCTCTGGGGGACACAGATCCCGCAGCGCCTGATGCGGGGGGTGGTGGGACGTGACCTTCATGTGGAGCTTGAGTGGTGCCTGCGCGTGGTGGGGATACGTGAGGCCAGGGCTGCCTCCAGGACAGCACCTGCACTCGGGACAGCCAGCTGGACCCACAGCAGCTGGGAGGAGAGGTGGGGAGTGTGTGGGCCCAGCCACAGGCAGCGCTGCCCCCTTTACCCCCCGTTCCTCTACCCTCAGCCTCATTAGGGGTAGAGGTTCCTCAGGGCTTGTGCTCGCTGTGGAGGCCTCGTGTCACGGGTTGCTCCCAGGCTCACTCCTCTCCTTGGCCTCCCCTAGGCATCAAGGCACAGTGCTGGTGGATTATGACCGCAGGGGAGCTGTGGCCGTGCCCAGGAAGCCACATTGAATCTACACATCCCCTTCGAGCATCAAGGGCAGCTGTGAGCAGGTGAGTGCTGTGCGCATGAAAGGGCTGCTGTCTCTGCTCTGGGGGAAGCTGGTGGGGAGCCCTTGTGGCTCAGGGCTGGCAGATTCCTGGGTTCTGCCTTCCTGACAGACATTTCTTACTAGGGGATGGAAATTGCAAGCTCTTGTATGCAGGGCCACAAAGTGGTGGGTGCTGTGGGCAAAAGGGCTGGGAGGTGGACATGAGACCTGTAGCCTGGGGGTGCTGCTGATCTGCAGCATCTTGGAATGCACAAGCTGTGAAATAGTCACCACAAATAAGTAGGAATCTGCCTGGAAGCACAAGTTTTCATGAAGGTAAGCAAGCAAAAGGGATATAAAATACAAGAAAGCAACAAGAATTCACAGCTTAGCTTAAAGTGTTTGTGGTTTAAGCGGAAATCATGTTGATGATACTGCCTGAGATGGCCTGCAGATGGATGTCGTCTTTAGATTCGGGGGGTGGAGAGAGACTGAATGTGAGTACTGCTCTGCCTGAGTGACACCACAGGCAGGTGGTGCCCTCCTGCCTGCCCTGCTCTCCATGAGCTTCTGAGTTCCTGCAGCCCTGCTCTTCCTCCCTCCTTCCCCACCAGAGCCCCTGTGGAGACCGAAGAGCTGGAGAGGACAGTGCGGAGGTCTGGAGGCGCCCCGTGATGGTGGGAGCCTGTCCCCGGCAGCCAGGCCGCTTTTGGGGGGTGCCCGGCTGGCAGGTATCATCAGCTGCTTGTGCCAACAATTCTCCGCTGCAGGACGGGGAGCCCAGGCTGGAGCAGAGCGGGGTCCTGCTGCAGAGGGGTGAGTGCAGAGGCAGGACGGGCTGCAGTGCAGCACGTTGCCCCTTTCATCACTTGGCCCACCCTGAGTCCTTGGGCCCAACTGCCTCGGCCTGTCACCCTCCTATCCCCATCACTGTGGGGAGTAAAATACCCTGCAGCCTCAGTCCCTGGGGAGCCTGACCCACTTGAGGGTTGTTTTCGCTGTCACATACCTGCCCCTAAGGTTTTACGTGGGAGCAGGACAGAGCTCTGGGGTCAGGCTGAAGTCAGAGCTGCCAAACCTAGGCTCTTTATCAGGCTCTGGAGCTCCACAGCTTGGGGGGAATTTTTCTGCAGAGATCCCATCTTTTCGGGTCTTGTGGCTGTTCCAGTGTTTATCCAGGCTGGCTGAGGACCGGGATCTCGGGCTGATCTCCTTGCTCTTGCTCTGTGATTGCAGATGCTGTGTTGCAGCGCACTCCGTAGCAGAGGGTTCACCCGGACGTCCTGAGCAGGGTGGCTGCAGCTCCTACCCGCAGCCTCCTCACAGCCACCCCGCGCGCTTCACGTCCCTCCCCTGCTGCCGTATGGGCTGCTCTGACTCGGGCTCCGCTCGAGCTCCAGCCAAGTGAGGCTCCATGCGGCACATCCACGCGGAGACGGCCCTGCCCCCAGGGCGCAGCGCGGACTCTGACCTGTCCCGGCCGCGGGCAGAGGCGGCCTTGGAGCCTTCCTCGCAGCGCTGCGCTCGCCGCAGCATCCTCATGGGCTACAACGAGACAGAGATCAAGCGCCAGAAGGTTTACCAGGTCTCCATCTTCTCCCACCTCTCCAGCTCCTCCGAGGGCACGGAGCAACGGACAGGCGGCCGGGCAGCCATTAAGCGGGGATACCCCGAGCAGCGAACTCCGGAAGGGACGCGGGATCCCAAACGAACTCCCTGGGGCGGCGGGGGCGCCGAGGGCAGGCGGGATGGGGGGCCTGGGCAAGGTTCCCCGGATGATGACGATGCCTTTGAGGACGGCCTGCTGGTGGAGGAGCTGTCGCTGTGCGGCTCCGCGCAGCACTTCTCGCACAGCGGGCTGCGTGTGGTGGAGCACCGCTGCGAGGGCAGCCCGAGCCGCAGCCCCAAGGGCGCCACAGGGGACAGGTTGCCGGATGCCTCGGCCTCCTGGCCACAGCACGTTGCTTGCAGTACTTTGCACACGAGGGACAGTTGTCCCGACCTGCCAGGGCATCAGCCTGGAGACTGCGGGGAGAACGGGGAGCGGGCGAGTGGCCACAACCTACTTGAACTTGAATTGCACCATATTGCACAACCCCCCCAGGCAGACTCTGGTGGGAAGAGAGAGAAGGTGGGGGAGAGCCCTGCTAAGCCAGACAGCAGGACTGGCAGAGAGGGGGAGTTGCCAGTGACGGCCAACGGGTGCAAGGAGCCGCCAGCCGCTGAGCCAGTGCTCAGCCCCGAGCCGAGCAGCCGGAGCCCCTTGGAGAAGACGCCCTGCGGGAGCAGCCGGCTCGGCGGGAGCAGCTGCCCAGCCAAACGGAAGCTGCTGCCAGCTGGGGAGGCCGCGGCTGACTCCTGCTCCGAGGACGAGAGCCTGTCCGTGCCGGCGAGGAAGAAGAGGGCCCTGCCGTGCCACCCCGTGCCCACGGCGTGCCGCAGCACCGATGCCAAGGGTGCCCCTTTCTGGAACCACCTGCTGCCGGCGGCCAAGGTGAGCGTCACCCATGGAGTGCGGGCAGAGGCAGGGGTCGCCCGGCGCTCAGGGTTGAGCTTGTGGGCATGTGGCCAGCGTGGCCCAGCAGCCAGGCCTGTCCCAGTGCCACTGCATGGTGCCCAGTGCCAGGCAGCGACTGCTGGCCAGCCCTGAGGCAAGCACCCTGCGGGGTGCTTTGGACACGGGCAGTGCCCCCGACATGGCCCAGCACTGTCTCTGCCCAGGTGCCCTTTGGGGGGCTGCCCCCAGCCTGCCTGCCCCCCCGCACTGCCCTCCTGGAGCGGGGCCCTCCGGCAGCTTCCCCCAAGCCTCTAGCTTGGTCACGCCGGGCAGCTCCGTCATCCCTTTGTGTTGTGCAGCCCTTTGTGCGGCTTCCAGAAGGGAAAATCCCTGAAAAGGGGACACCCTGTGAAAGGAGGCAGCAGAGTGGCCCCAGCTGCAGCCCCCCAGAGTGGCTGCGGGCAGGGTGGGCGAGTGCAGCCCTGCGCCCCGCGGCGCTGCCATCAGCTCTGCATGAACCGCCTGGCGCTGGGGCTCGACCCAGACTGGCCGGGGAGCTTCCTGGTACGTGGCACCGTTCGCTGGGATGTGCCGGGGGCCCTTTCTGCATGTCCCTGCCAGCGCGAGGGCACCATTGCCTCCTCCCCTGTTTGCCCGAATGGGGGTAGCTGGGAGACCCGCTATGCAGCGTGGGGGGCAAGCGGCTGAGCGAGGCCTGGACATCAACACTCCCTTCCCCAGCGGAGCCCCTTGGTCAGGGTGAGGACCCGGCCTTGGGGGCAGGTGCTGGTTTGGCAGCTCCCTGTCCCAAGCAGGGACAGCTGGCATGGGCAGGGGCTGCACGTGGGAGCCCGGCTGATGCCCTGGGGCTGCTGTGGGGCTGGCACCTTGGGGAGGCCGCTGCCCTTGCTCTTGCTCTTGCTTCCCCGCAGAGCTCTGCAGATTGCACTGCGGTCGGGAGGAGGCTGAAGAGTGGGCTGCGCCTCAAATCGTGAGTGTCCCGGCACCCCGGGAGCCCTCCCCACCTTGGAGCAGGGCCCTGGGGGCAGCACGTGGTCCCTGGGGACACCGGGCTCCCAGCACCCTACAGCCCCTTGGGAGGGCCAGGGCTGAGGTAAATCCCTGTCCTTGCCCTGGCGCCTCCCTGCCATGAGACCCGTGTGGGGCGGAGGGGAGGTTCTGCTGCACCTTGTGGAGGGAGAAAGTCTGTTGAACCTGTTACAGAGAGAGGGGGACCCAGAGAGAGGGGCAGGGCCTGTTTGCCCGCTAAGGGCCCCATCCCTGGGGCCGCGGGGAGCATGGGGCTGCCTGCTCTCCGCTCCTGCACTGATGCTCTCCCTCTGCTCCAAGGCGGCATCTCCGCAGCAGCCTCCGGAGGACGACCCGCTCCTCCGCGGCCTCCTGGGCCACCACCACTGTCAGTCACGCTCTGCTGGGCAACTTTGAGGTAAGGGCTGCGACCCGGGCTGTGACCACACGTGTGGGAGGGAGCCCTGCGGGCAGGGGTCGGTTCTGTGCAGTGGCACCTGTCCCCAGCAGGACATCCCAGCCCTGAACTTGCCCCCCAGGGAGAGGGTTGCTGCTGACTGGTAGCACTAGGGTGCTCGCACTTGTTCTTGGCATTCAAGCATGGAGCCTGTCTCAGAAACAGGTGCCTCACAGGCAGTCCCGGGCGAGCCCAGAGCTGTGTGAGGACAGCCATGGGTGCTCCTGGGGGAAATGGGTGTTGAGGGGCAGGCCGCGTGTTTGGAGGTCTATAACTCTGTAACGCTTCCCTCCTGTCCCAGGAGTCTATCCTGAAGGGCCGCTTTGCACCGTCGGGAAGGATCGAGGGTTTCACCGCTGAGATCGGAGCCAGTGGCTCCTATTGTCCCCAACATGCCACCCTGCCCGTCGACGTCACCTACTTCGACATCTCCGAACACAGCGCGCCCTCGCCCTTCCTGGTATGCTCGTGAGGAAGGGCTGGGCCGGGGGGACACGGGCCAGGGCCATGTCCAGCACGGGGTGTCCTCTGCCATCACCTCTGGGTTGCCCCTTGTTCCTCCCTCTGGGCCACATGGAGACTGAGCTGAGCACCCTCTTGCAGCCTGTCCCCACTTGCCTTGTCCCACTGAGTGCTGGTGAGAGGGGCCCTGGGCCCCACATCAGCACCCGGGTAGGCTCCCTGGGAGCTGCTGCCCTCTCTCACGTGCTGTTTCTTTTGCCCAGGGAGTGATTGATTTGGAGGCCTTGGGAAAGAAGGGTTACAGTGTCCCCAAAGCTGGAACCATCCAAGTGGTGAGTCATCTCTCGGCCTCTGGTAGCACCATGCAGAGGTCTGGGTGGGTCCCGTTGCGTTGGAGCTGCTCTGTTTGGTTGTTCTGGTGGGACAGAAGCTCCGTGCAGAGCGTGTGTAGGTCCACCCGGAGAGCGCTCTGGAGGGAAGTGTGGGGTCCCCAGGGACAGGGGGATGAGGGGGGGATGCAGGGGGATGAGAGGCATAAGGATATTGAGGAGGGGCTGGAGTCTCCACAGCAGAGCAGGTGGGTGCCATGGGAATAAAATGGGAGCATGGGGGTAGAGCCCATGTCCTGGCCACTTCCTCATCTGACCTCCCCTCCAATCTCCGCTCCCAGACCTTATTTAACCCCAACAAGACTGTGGTGAAGATGTTCTTGGTGACGTACGACTTCCAGGACATGCCGGCCAACCACATGACCTTCCTGCGCCACCGCATCTTCCTGGTGCCCGTGGGGGAAGAGGAGGGGGCTGCCGTGACCTCCAACCACCCCCCAGGCGCTGGCCAACCCCGAAGGGTCCTCTGCTACCTGATGCACCTGAGGTAGGGCAGGCTGGGAGGGACAGACTGGGTCTGGGCTCGGTGCTGGGCTCCCAGGCCCCACTCCTTTGCATCCTTGTCACCTCCAAAAATAGTCCTGCTGCTGTCACGGGAGGATGGCCTGACTTGGTAGCCCTGGGCTATAGCAGGGAATGGTGGCCGTCTGCATTAGAAGGCTTGCAGAGAGATTGGAGATGCTGTCCTGCCCTGGGACAGTGGCCTCCCTCCCTCAGGAGGCGGGCAGAGTGGTAGCCACGTGGACTGAGCAGAAATAGGCAAGGGAGATGGTGGGAAGAAGCTTCCTGAGCTGGAGCTCTGCCCCCTGCCCTGCTCTGATCCCACCTCGTCCCTCTGAGGCCCCCATGTCCTTGCTTGCAAGGCTGAGGTTCCTCTGCTTTCCTCCCCGCGCAGGTTTCACAGCTCCAAGTCGGGGAAGATCTACCTTCATGACACCATCCGGCTGCTCTTCTCCCGCAAGTCCATCGAGGTCGACTCGGGGATCCCCTATGAACTGAAATCCTTCACGGAGATGCCAAGGAACCCTTGCTACTCGCCCTGGGTCTGAGCGCGGAGCCGCCTGACCTGCTGTGTGACCCAGAGCTGCTGGGGAGCATCCAGCCCCGTGCTTCAGAGTGAGACAAGAAGAGGGCCCGAGAGCGACACCGCCTTGGAGCATCGTCCTGCTCCCCTGGCCACGTCCTGCCCTGCGTCATGGACACGGGGCCCTGCCCTGGGGCAGGGCTGCGATTTCCAAGGGGGGTTGCCAGCAGAGGCTGAGGCCGGGGAGCAGTCCCTGTGCTCCAGGGCTGGGTCCTGCCCCTGCTGCTCCGAGCTCGCAGATGTGGCTGGGGAGGAGCAGGGTGTCGGGGCAAGGCTGCCTGGGCCAGGCACGGGGCTGGGGTGCGGGAAGTGCAGAAGGGTTCGTATTTATTAGTATTTATTGTTGCTGGGAGTGTGGAAGAGGCTGCGGCTGGGGATCAAAAGCCCTTTCCCCAGAGCTCCTGAGGGGTCCTGGCCTGGCGGGCACGGGATGATGTCCCCGCAGCGGGGCAGGCGCTGTGCAGCAGTGTGAGGCTGCTGGCTGTGGGGCAAGGCTGTGGGTCACCCCTGCTCTCTGTCCCTGAGTGGGGGGAGTGTCCCCGGCTGGGGGGCAGTGTTAAAAGCCGGGGGAGGCTGGGCCCTGCTCTGGGTGGCCTGGGCTGCCCTGTCCCCCCTTCAGGGCAGGCAGCTCCCAGGAAGCTGGGGCCGGGAGCGAGGTGGCTGGGGCTGTGACACGGAGACCTGGGACAATCCCTGGGAGAGCAGGGGCAGCTCTTCCACCAAGGGCGGCTGGAGGCTGTAAGAGAAAGGGGAGATCCCCCCCGGCTGTCCGTGTGCGTGCGGTGACTCCTGCTGCCCTTGCAGCTGCCAGGACCATCCTTGGGACAAGGACAGGCCCAGGGCAGGATGCAGGGCAGGCAGAGGAGGCCAGGCCGGGCTGGGGGAGTAGGGCCAAGAGGGAGAGCAGAGGGAGTCAAACCCTCTGTGTGGAGCTGGAGGTGTGAGGAGGGGAAGGGTTGGCAGAGAGGTGGCCAAGGAGCCTGTGGGCAGCGCGGGGCAGGGGCCGGGGCCCGTCCGCGGCGGAGCCGGGGGCAGCCCCAGCCCGGCTCCCGCCGAGGGCAGCGAGCGGGGCCGGCTCTGGGGCCGGGCCGGGCGGCCGCGCTCCTCGCACGTCGGTTCCCGTCTCAATAAACGCTGCTTTGACACCGAGCGCCGCCTCCGCGCCCGCCTCT